GGTGGAAAACTGAGAGAAAGTGGAATCACAGAAGTTAGGAGAGGAGAGGGAGGGAGTAGTCATTTGGGTCAAAAACAGTTGAAAGGTCAAAAAAACCTCACTGCTGTGGAGTTGGAGCTGACTCATAGTGAGTCTTCTTTGGGTTTCTGAGGTGGTATCTCTATGGAAGTAGATTGCCCAGTCTTCCTTCTGAGGAATGGCTGGTGGATTTGAACCACCAGTCCTCTGGTTAGCAGTCAGATGCCTTAGGCACTATGCCAAAAGAGGTCAAGTAACATGAAAATGGAAAAATGAGTAGGTGGAGGGGATCTTGGGATCAAGGCAGGGGCTGGCTTTTTTTTTTTTTTTTTTTAATATTTCTTTAAAATCTTTAATCTGTGGATTTCCAAGGCTCTTTTCTAAGATGGGAGCTACAGTACACAGCATATTTGCATGTGAATGGAGATGATCCATGAGAGAAAGAGTGGATAATTACAGAAGAGAGGCTTTGAGGGGACATGGGTCAGAAAATAAGTAGAAGAGGTGACCTGTGACAGGAGCAGGGAGACTGCTGTAACAGGAAGAAAAACAGAGAACGTGGGTAGTGGGTCAGGCAGGTTGGTAGATTTGGGAAGATGGAGTTCGCAATGAAGAATGAGGTAAGGTCATCTCTGGCTCTTCCCCCAATGACATTCACTGCAAGGTAAACAATGATAGGCACCCTAAGCCTCTCCACCTCCTGTTTTCACCAGACTTCTCTGAGAACTCCACTTTCTCTGTAGCCTTCTCAGAGGAAAGATGTCAATACCATCTCCATTCCCACCTTCAGAATGGGAGGTACACTCAATGTCTTCCTTACACCCTCCTTCCGAACCATCCATTTTCCTCCTTCCTAATACAAGCAAAAGGAGCTCTGACAGCCCAGGGCTTAAGGCATACGACTGCTAACCAGAGGTTGGTGGTTCAAACCCACCAGCCACTCCATGGAAGGAAGACTGGACAATAGACTTCTGTAAAGATTTACTGCCTCAGAAACCCAATGAGGGTCACAACTCAATGGCAGTGAGTTTGGGTTTTTTGTTTTGAAATTCAAGCAAACAAACATAAAAGAAAATCCCAGTACCTGGCATAGGTTCTTGGCACAGCACAGATGTCCAATAAATATGTTTTTTTTTTTTTTTTTTAAACAAACAAATCCTGCCCTTTAAAAGTCAGTCCATTTAACTCTGTCACCACTAGCTCTGCTCTACCCATCACTATCATCCACTGACTCCTCTTGGTCACAAGTTTCCTCTACCTCAACTGTTGCCATCATTCTGGGGGATTTCACGCTGGTCTTGGCAATTTGGTATCCTCAAAGGCAGAGAGCTTCAGCTCTGTTCCTCTCCAGTCACTCACTGCTGGGGCTGTATCTAAGATCTGTCAGACCTTCCTTCCCCTGCATTTGCGTGAGTTTCTGTGGAAATACAGTATTCTCTCAACTTCGACTCCACAGACCATGTGAAATAGTTCCCCCTACTGGATAATAATTACATACACAGTCCCTATATTTGGAATTATATGAAGAATACTTTGAGGTGCCTGGTAAAAGAAGAGAAGCCCTGGTTACACAGTGGTTAAGTGCTTGGCTCTTAACTGTAAGGTCAGTGGTTCATACCCACAAGCTTCTTTCTCCACAGGAGAATGATGTGGCAGTCTGGTTCCGTAGATTTCTTAGAAACCCTAAGGGGCAGTTCTACTCTATCCTATCGGGTCGCTATGGGTCGGAATCAGCTCAACAGCCACAAGTTTTTTGGCAGGTAAAAGAAGAACAAGATATTTATTCAGCTGACATTTCTTGAGCACTTGTTAGGAATCTGGCATATCTGAGATTATTTTGAGGCCCAGAGTTTCATTGTTATCACAGGTGCAGACATCAAACCAAAAAGGTGATGACAAAGCTTTGTCCTCCCTCTGCCTCTACCAGTGTTAGCTGTGATTTAATAAACATAGAGTGAGTCTAAATTGGGTCTGATATTGGAAGAAGCTGAGGGCCATGGCATTCCAGCTCTGGAGTGGTTCATTAGTGTAACTGAAGCTAAACCACTTTTTCATTAATTTATTCAACAGATCTCTACTGAGTACCTATTACGGTCCAGGCCCTAAGCTGGAAAAGGAGACAAATTAGACTCAGTCACTGCCCTGGAGTTGCTCTAACGTCTGAAGGAGAAAGGCATACAGGCAAGTAATCATTAATGCAGTGCATATGTGCAGTAGACATTCATTCAGCAAACGTAATGAGGAACGAATATATGTTAGGAACTGTACTTAGGATATAAAGATAAAAACCAGTTCACTGAAACTGTGCACAGTCTATATAAAGGGCAGTTACCATTTTGGAGATAACTGCTCCAATGGAAGGAGGTACTGAGTCTGGGTGGGGGGCAGAGTGGTACAAAAGAGAGGGGGCTGATTCTCTGGGTGGGGGTGTTGGAGACAGGGTCAGGAAGGCCTTAGAAAAGAAATGCACAAGCTGAGTGTCAATGGGTGAGTAGGAGTGGTCACATTTGCCAAGCGAGGCGGGTAGGGGGAGGGAGGTCTCAGTGTTACCCAATTTATTCTCCTCTGGGTGGTTAGATTAAGCTCCCTAACATGCTTCCTCTGCCAGGCTGTCCCCTAGCTCCAATGCCACCAACAACCCTCTGCCACTGGGTCTGACCTTTACCTTGGCCCCTCTATACTTCATCCCTTCACTGGCAACTCCTCCCCAGCTGGGCTACTCTGCTGCAGCTGGTAATCAATAGTAATTTCATCAGAGGGTTACTTCCAACAAACAAGGCCCACATACCCACACATTGCTGCAGGGGTCAAGCAAACATAAAATTGATACTGCCGCTGAAGGAATAATATGACTGACATTCTATTTTCAATACTGCCTGTTAAATTGGAAGAAAGCCTCCAGACCTTGTCGACCTTCCCCAGGACCTCACTTGCATACCTGAACCCCAGTGCCTGACTGCTCCTTACGCCTTTCTCAGACTTCCTGGACCTGGGGCTCAGCCTAACACCCTGGGCACAGGAGATCCTATACTTATTGATACCCAGATCTTTCTTGATTGACGGACCTCCCTGTCCTGGCTGCCTCAGCCCTGCCCTTCCTCCTTCCATAAGCCACTTCATTCTCCTCACCCAGGCAGTTCCATCCTGTCTATTCTCTCTCCTCGGGACCTCCTGTGCCCAGTTGGCCCAGCACCTTCTTATTTTGTTACCTGAACAAATGGAAAGGCCTCCCAACTTGCCTCCATTCTCAAGTGTCCCACTTGGGCACACTACCGCCCAGTCAATCTTCCTGATGCCTTGCTTTACCTCTGCCACTTACCTGTTCATAAATTTACATTCCAATGGATCCATGCTGTCTGCTGAGACAGTGCCAACGACTTTACCTGGCATTCAAGGTGCTCCTAATTTGGCTTTAGCTTACTTTTCTGGGTTTCCTAGTGAAACTACATGATCTGCCATCATTCCTCAGACACATCTTATACTTCCCTATGTCTATACCTTTGTTTATACCATTTCCCTTTCCAGAATGGCCTCCTCTGCTCCTTTCTACCTTCTAAAATTCTTCCCATTCTCCAGGGCTCAGTTCAAATGCTACCTTCTCAGTGAACCCTTTCTTGTTCGTCCTGTTAAAACAGTATCTCCCCTTTCTGAACTTATATAGGGAAAGGAAGGAAATAACATCCTTTAATACCTGGCATGTGGTACATGTTAAAACATGTGCTTAGTCAGAGGATTTGGTGGTTTGAATCCAGTTAGCTGTGTAACCTTGGGAAGGGTACTGTAGTGGGTTGAATGATGTCCCCCTAAAAGATAGGTCCACCTTTTAGAACCTGTAAATGTAATCTTATTTGGAAAGGGGGTCTTTGAGATGTAATTAAGTTAAGGATCTCAAGATGAGATCATCCTGGATTATCTAGGCAGGTCCTAAATCCAATGACAAGCATCCTTATAAAAGACACATAGAGGAGAGACACAAGGAGAAGACAGGCCATGTGAAGACGGAAGCAGGGATTGGAGTCGTGCAGCCCCAAGCCAAGGAAGGCCTGGAGCTACCAGAAACCAGAGGAGACAAGGAGGATTCTCCCCTAGAGCCTTTGGAGAGCATGGCCCTGCTGACACCTTGACTTCAGACTTCCTGCTTCTGGAACTGCAAACAGTATCTTTTTGTGGTTTTAAGTCACTAAGTTTGTGATAATTTCTTACAGTCACCCTAGATACTAATACACATACTTAATCTTCTGCACTTCGATGTTTTATCTCAAAAAACATAAAAATACCTACCTCCACCAATCATTCATTTGAACATTCAAATGCCTAATAAAGTGCCAGGCTCTGTACTCTTGTGGTTATTTTGAGAATTAAATGAAATGAAGCATGGAAAAGGGATGGCACATGGAGGCACTCAACAAATAAAAATGTATTAATACTACTGCTATCCAATTGAGTTTCTTAGAAAAATAAAGACATTCCTCAGAGTGTTTCTATTTAGAGAGGAAACAGCACATAGATCAGGAACTACAGCCAGCTCTGGACCCAGGCAGACTCTAACAACTGTTAAAGTACTGTATGGCTGATTTGTAGCACAGAACATGACTATCATTTCTGAATAAGTTATCAGTCAGTATTGAACTAGCATCTTTGATCTGGTGAGGCTATCCAGGACACTCAACAACAAGGCTCTTTGTGACTAAGAGGAAACTTCTAAGAGCTAAACTTCTGAGGAGTCTCTGGCTGGTACAGTTAATGGACTTGGCTGCTAATCCAAAGGATGGAAGGTTGAGTCCACCAAGAAGCACCTCAGAGGAAAGGCCTGGCAATCTACTTCTGACAAATCAGCCATTGAAAACCCTATGGAGCACAGTTTTACTCAAACACAAGTGGGGTTGCCAGGAGCCAGAATTGACTCAATAGCAAATGGGTAATGTGCCTAGTTCTTACTGCCACCTTCTGTGATCTGGAGCAGACCCTGCTGCCTCCCTTACCTTCATACTGGACTTCCAGGTGCATTGTGCGCAGCACCTTCAGCACACAGTCCACGATGCTAGGGTGTGTGGTTCCAACGATTGACTGATAAGACAGACAACAGAACATGGTTACTCTTTTGATCTTGTCTACCTGGAAGAACTGAAAAGCAGACTTCCAAACAGGTACGTGCCTTGGATGAAAGGGGGAAAGGGAGGGCAGTGGCGGGTCCCTAGGTCTAGGCCCTACAATATACCTTTCTTTTAGAGAGAAGGGGCAGAGATGGGCACCCAAGAATCTAAGAATCTGCTGAGGTTGCCACTGAACCCTCTAACTCAGGAGGCACTGAGGCTTCCTGGCTCAACTAGGAAAGTAATTGCTGCTAGAGCTACAGTGACAAGGACTGCTACCTTGGCCACGGGACGAAGGACACAGGGCAGGGAGAGTAGAATTAATCGTGAGACTTTTTAGAATTCTTCTAACTCTGTTGTGTGCTATCAGTTAGGACTTATAGTGACCTACAGCACAGAGTAGAATTGCCCCATAGGGTTTCGTAGACTGTAATCTTTACGGGAGCAGATCGCCAGGTTTTTCCTCCTATGGAGCTGCTAGATCACAGACATTTTGGTTAGCAGATGAGCACTTGACTGTTGTGCCACCAGGACTTCTCTTCTAACTCTAAGGTCCTAAAATCTTCTCTTCTTCAGGACCCTCACCCAGTCAGTCAACCCCTCTTTTCTGCCTCTTCAATCTTTAACTGTACATTGGTTCCTTTCCTTTAGCATTTAAACATCCTCAAGTTTGCCCATATTTAGTGAAATTATCTTTCTCCTGTATTTGCCCTGCTTGCTACTGCTATTTTCCTTTCTTTTCCCTTTATGCCTAACCTTCCCAAGAGAAGCCGGTTCTTCATCCTCCGTTCATTCTTTGATAGGATGCTGCAATTTCATTCTCCTGTCCCGAGACACTGTCCCCTAATTCACCAAAACTCTTCCTTCCAGGGCCTTCTTTCTATTCTATCCATACTCAATGTCTTTGTTGCATTTGACCCAGCCAATCACCCTCTTATGCACACTCTTTCCCTTGATTTTCACAGCCCCATTTCTCCTGTTTTCCTTCTATCACTTTTATTGCTCTTTTTCAAAGAAGCAGAGAGTTATGTGGAAAGAATAAGGCCTTTGGAGGTGGACAGACTTGGATTTAATTGCCTATTTAGTAATGTGGTGGTTATGTTTTTGTGTCAACTTGGCTGGGCCTGGCTGAGTGGCTGGCCAGCTGGATGTAGTATTCCCCATGATGAGACACAACTCCATGGTGGAATCTACTGGGAGCAGCTGAGTAGCTGCCTTTGGGTATGTGGTCTGCTTCCTGTATATAAGGAGAAGCTTTGAGAATGATCTCTAGCCTATGGCACGCTTGGACCCTGCATGTAGCCGTGTCATTGCACAGCAGCCTGGCATGCTCTGCCGACCTTGGGACTTACAATGGACTTAAGTTAAGGGCCTGCCATGTGGTTTGGTAACATCAGGACTGTGCCTTTTTACTTGTCAACCTTGGGGCTTCTCAGCCTCAGCAGCCAGCAGCTGTCTGAGTGAAGAAACGCCTCTAGCTCCAGTGGGCCGGGAACAGGAGGCAGAGTGAGGGGCTTTCACCCAGCCCCTAGAGCTGGGCATTTTGAACTTGGACTTAAAGCCTCCAAATTGTAAGAATAAACTCCTGGTTGTTAAGGCCATCCCATTTGTGGTATATTTCTTCTCAGAGAGGCATTAGGTAACCAGAACAAGTAAATACCTTCTACTCAGTGTGTAGCTTTAGACAAGTCACTGAACACCTCCCTGAGGCTCAGTTCCATCATCTTTAAAATGAAGATAGTACTATTTCCTCCCTCACCTATTATGAAGACTAAGAGGCATAATGTAAGTAAGCCCCTGACTCAGTGCCTGGCCTGGAGGAGGCACTTAACAAATGGACACCGTGGAGATAATGATGATAATAGTATCTGTTTTGCTGGATCTTCTTCCTCAGCCTGTCTCTTAAATATTGCAGGTATCCTTCATTTGATCCACGCCTGCTCTCTTCTTACTCAGCATATTCTACCTGGGAGATCTTCTGTGGCTTCAGTTATCAATGAAATTCAAACTGAATTTCATAAAATTAAAACTAAAATCTTCATCTTGGGCCTCTCTCTGGAGCTTCCAACCTTTATGGGTAGCTTTGCTATAGGTCCTGAGTAGTGATTCCTACATTTAGCTAGGAGCGAGAACCATTTGGGAAATTTAAAAGAAATCAACAAAAGCATTACTAAGGTTACATTGTGGGGAATTGCAGTCAATGTCATGAGACAAAATGTGTATGAACTGCTGTATGGAAAATAAAATTTGCTCTGTAAACTTTCACCCAAATCACAATAAAAACTCACTGTTGTCAAGTTCGATCTGACTCATAGTGACCCCTCCTTGGGTTTCCGAGGCAGTATCACTGTGGAAGTAGATTGCCCCATCTTCCTTCTGAGGAGTGGCTGGTGGGTTTGAACCGCCAGCCTTCTGGTTAGCAGTCAAATGCCTTAGGCACTACACCACCAGAGTAAATCACAATAAAAAAAAAAAAAAGCATGACTAAGGCCCACATCAAGGAGCTCTGGTAGCATAGTGCCTAAGGCACAATGTGGTTGTTGTTGTTATGTGCCCTTGAGTGACTATGGAAGTAGATTGCCACACCATGATCCAAATCTGACCTCCTTCCCATTCTAGGGTGAAGTCTGAGAGAAGGACTGGAGGCAGTAAAAGGAGCTTTCCCAAGCCCTAGAGACCTGGGACTATTGTTGTGCTGTCAGATTCTTTCCCTATCAAATTGACTCCTTTAATCTTTTCTACAGTCCTTTCATCATCCTTGTTGCTTGTCTCAACCACTTTTAAGTCTACCAACATCTTTCTGATCCTTAAGTAAACAGGACAAATCACTCTGCTGGGAGACATGAACTCTGTGCCCTGCCTTGGCCTTCTGGAAGTAACGCTGATTGAACAGCAGACATGCAGCGGGGAGCTGAGCTCTGCTTCTCATGCTGTGTGGAGTACAACTGCGGAAGGTAATTGTAAGATCACTGCATTTGAATCAGAATCACAGACCCGTGCAGCGCAGGCTCACCTGGGCGGTCCTGAGAGTCTGCAGGGACAGCTGCTGAGCTTTGGGGCATGCACAGGGCAGCAAAGCTATCAGACCTTTGTATACTTGATTCTGGTATTTAGGGTTACCATGGACCAATGCGTCCAACAAAACCTGCACTTCTTCCTGGCACTCTTCTGACTTAGACTTGGCCAAAAATTCTGCTATGGATCGGACACCTGAGTAAAGAACAGAGGAAATGTTAAATTGGAAGGGATTCATGAAAACAATCCCCACTCAAGATTATGTAATATGAAGTAATAGGATTAAGATCCATTCAACCAAGGCTGTTCAATCAAAGCAAAATTAAGGCTCAGTTCTCACCACTTTCTTGTTCTCCTTATAGTTATGTTGCTGGAGGGTTTTGTTTCGGCCTCCAAAACCAAAAACCAAACTCACTGCCGTCGAGTCAAATCTGACTCATAGTGACCCCTCCCTGGGTTTCCGAGGTGGTATCGCTGGGAAGTAGATTGCCCAACCTTCCTTCCAAGGGGTGGCTGGTGGGTTTGAACCACCAGCCTTCTGGTTAGCAGTCAAATGCCTTAGGTACTATGCCACCAAAGCTCCTTGTTTCAGCCTGTTGTTGTTGTTGTTGTTTGCCATTGAGTCGGCCCCGACTCATAGCAACCCCTCCTTGGGTTTCAGCCTAGACATGCCAAATGTAGTGCTTTGATAAAAGAGATGCATGGGGGATGGCATCTCTTTTACATGCCTCATAGCGCTTGATAGATTACACTGGATTATTTACCTTTCTCACCAGACTGTAAGCTCTTTGAAGACAGGGACTGCATTTTATTTATTTTTGTATCCCCTGCACCTTAATATATACCTAGAACAGAGTAGGTTTTCAATAATTTTATTTCTAGAGTTATTCATATCTTACTTAATTCCACAAAGGATTTTAGGCAACTGTTCAATAAACCTTTATTGAATGGATTCATGAAAGAGTATTATTAAAAATGGAGAAGTATTTTCAAAACCACCACTGAAAGATTTCAGTGAACAATCAGGATAATCCTAAATCTGGGTTTTCTGGTGGTAATTAGACGGGAGTTAATTGAGTCGCACTGTACAAAATGTTTCCTGTGCAAACAGTTCCAAGATGTTTTCCTATAGCAATAGCGGGTGCTGCCACCATTTCACTCAAGCGCCCAGGGAGACAGAGACTCAACACCTTCGTCATGCATAGTACTTACCATAGCTTTCACAAATGAGCTCTTTGTACTTCCTGCCGGAGTTTGCAATAAGCTGAAGTAACTTGATGGATTCCTTCTTGTCCTCCTCCTTGATTTTCTCCAGCCCAAGTATTTCCAAGAGTGTTAGGACACCTCCAACCTCAAGGAATTCTATAAGGTACCGATTACTATCCAGAAGGGATAGAAGTAAAAATAAAACAGTTGTCAAGTCCCTTGGCACTAACTTTATAAAGGGATCTCAAGGCCCTTTCTTTACATACTTTGTTCTCCTACCCAGGAAAATTCGCCAGTATGGGTAAAATGACACAATAGCTTGGAAATTCTTCCTTTCAGCAGAGAATGCAAAAGCTAAGTACAGTGACATTTCTTGTCTTGGGATTTCTAGTATCTGTTCCTTCTTTTTCTTGTAATAGCACCTTAATCATCCCTTGGGGAATCATCCATTCACCACTCATGGGCCATGTGTTTTTGGTGACAGGGCATGTTATCTTCCTGACCACAGGCATGTGATCTAAGTTGGTCCAAAAAGGCTCAAAACCCAGGACTTTTTTTAAAACCTTGGGAAAGAATGTGTTCTCTTTTTGGTGTAGCTGAGCTACAAGGATGCACGCCTGGAGTGTCTGAGAACTGTAGCCCACAGAGGCCTACGAATACAGAGCAGAGCTAAGGAATGGAGAAAAAGAGAGACAGGGAGATGAAGGACTGATGACACTGAGCCCCTGGATCTAACTGGGCCTGAACTACAGATTCCCAACCTCTGGGTTTTTCAGTTATGTGAAATTTCCTTTTTTTCCTGAGTCTGGTATGAGTTGGTTTTCAGTAGTTTGCAACCAAGTCCTAACTAGTAACGGGTCAATGGAGAACATAGGACAGAGGGGTAACTACAGCGGGACCATGGCTGACCCTACCCCTGGGCCCATCCTGAGGGCTCCAGGACACCCAGTGATAGGCAGAAGTCACAGTCCCTGTGGTATGGATGCCAAGGACAGCATGAGCCCAATATGCCACTGAGCCCCTGCAGTCTCTCTGGAACAGACTTTGCACTCACCTGCTTACTGCTGACAAGAAGATGCCAATGGACTTTAGCAGCTTATCTAAACAACAGCCAGTCATATAGCTGGATGACAGGTTAAAGAGCGAATTTCAGGGTCGATTTTTCACACAGAAACCAGATTCTATGCCTGACCCCTGATAGCCAAGTATGCCCAGTATGACCAAGTAGCTGAATTGGACCTTTTACTCTCAGAGAGGCCACCAGGCTGAAGGAGAAGTGGCCACATATATGGGGTGGAGAGAAAGGAGTGCTGGGAGACATGCTTACTGTTCTCCTGGAGACTTTCTAGGTAGTTCAGCCACTGTGGCTCTGACCAGCTCCCTAGGGAACACAGAGGCTATGAGTAAGAAAAAATGCATTGAGAAAACTTGGAGTCAATTTCCCAAGTGTCTCAATGCCATGACCATCACCTCCCCCTTGGGTGCGCAGGTTACCACTTTGTAATTCATTCTTAAGACTTCTCTAAAAATAAACAGCTTCATCATTAATTCTCTATTTTGTATTTGCTCAAAAGTTTTGCACTGTAGGTCACTATCTTTATGAAGAACTGCACGGCTTCCTAATAAGAATAACAGAAGATGGTGGAAAAATTAAACTCTGATTTAAAACAACCTCAGTATTTAATGTTATTTTTTAATGTGAGCCTTTGCAAAGAGCTTCATTGTAATAAAGTACCCAGAGCACGCATCAGCTCAGATACAAGGTATGAAATCAAGCCACAACAGAAAAGGAACCAGTCAACAATTACTAGGCTCATAACACATCACAGGCTCTTAGAACACTTAAGAAATTAGCTGAAATTATTGCAGCTCATGGAGGATGACTGAGAGCTTCCCAGACTGATAAAGGCTAATGTAATGGGCTGGAGGTAATGGTGCTTTGTTGGGGGGCAGGGGAGAGGCGAGCATGAGGCAAATTATCTCTGCTGCACCCTAGTTCCCAGGATGCCAATAGAAGTAGAGACAGATTGGCTCATTAGGAAAGGCTCTTTACTGCAAAAACAGTGTTTGCTCTGGAGCCAGGCTCCCCTGCCTGTTGCCACTACTAACCACATTCCTTTCTTCCTTCCTACATTGTCTCTTCCAGCCTCCAACCTGCCTCAATACATTCCCCTCCTTCTCTCTTCAGTTACCAGATAGACTGATCTACTTTGTTACCTTCTTTTCTGTCAAGCCTTGTTCTCATGTTGTTGTGGTGTGCTGCTAATTTCAACTCATGGTGACACTCTATGCCAGAGTAGCAGGGCCCCATAGGGTTTCTCAGGCTGTAATCCTTGCTGAGTAGATCAGTAGGTCTCTTCCCAGTGGAGTAGCTGGTGGGTTTGAACTGCTGACCTTTCAGTTAGCAGCTCAGCTTCTAACCACTGCACCATGAGGGCTCCTTCTTGTTTTCATATATATATTTGTAGCTAGTAAGTATCAAGCCTTTATTGTGTGCCAGGCACGGTACTGATTGCTTTATGTGCATTGTCTCATTTAATTCTCAAGATAGTGCTGCAGGGGGTGCTACTAGTATTTTTATTACCACATGAGGAAACAATCTCAGACATGTTAATGACTTGCCCAAGGTCACAAAGAGAAAACATCTGTAGACATGTGGAGGGAGTAGAGCCATTTATGTAGATTACCTCCTGCATCCTGTAGAAGGTGGAGCTATGTGTCTGTCCTGTCCACTGAGGTGGGAGGGAGATACGCAGTACAGTGGATGGTGAATAGGCTTTGGGTCAGGCAAAAACAGTTGCTATCAAGTTTATTCTAACTCATTTGTTTCAGAGGAGAACCACTCTGGGCAGTTTTCAATGGGTGACCTTTAGGAAGCAGATTGCTAGGATTTTCTCCTGAGGCCCCTCTGGGTAGATGTGAACTGCCAACTTCCCAGTCAGTAGTTGAGTGTTTACCATTTGTGCCACCCAGGGACTCCTGGGCCAGGCAGACCCAGGTTCAAACTTTATTTATGACATTTTCTAATAAATTACTAAACCTTTTTAAGGCTTACCTTTCATATCTATAAAATGGGGTAAAGCCAATCACCTATTAATTTTAGTGTTAGGCTCAAATAAGAGTATTTGTACAGTGTACATAATTCAGTGACTGAAACATAAAAAAGAATGGTAACTAATAATTTTTTCAGCATAATATATAAATCTTCAGTTTTGCTGATCTATTCTGAAAGTTCAGGGCTAAAAAAGGGGCTTAAGGTTTATGGGGGATTATATGGTTGTCAATTTTGCAAAAGATAATGATGCTTTCCAAATGCAGAAAAATGAAACAGGATCCTTGCCTCACACCACATTGTTGTTGTTGTTAGGAGCCGTCGAGTTGTCTCTGACTCATAGTGACCCTATGTACAACAGAATGAAACACTGCCCAGTCCTGTACCAGCCCCATGATCCTTGCTATACCTGAACCCATTGTTGTAGCCACTGTGTCAATCCATCTTGCTGAGGGCTTTCCTCTTTTCTGTTGACCCTCCACTTAACCAAGCATGATATCCTACTCCAGAGAATGGTCCCTTCTTACATTACCAAAGTAGGTGAGATGAAGTCTGGCCATTCTCACTTCCAAGGGGCACTGTGGCTATACTTCTTCCAGGGCAGATTTATTAGTTCTTTTAGCAGTCCATGGTACTTTCAGCATTCTTTGCTAACACCACAACTCAAAAGCATCAACTCTTCTTCGGTCTTCCTTATTCATTGTCTAAATCTCACATGCATATGAGGTGATTGAAAATACCATAGCTTGTGTCAGGTGCACCTTAGTCTTCAAGGAGACGTCTTTGCTCCTCAGCACTTGAAAGTTCTTTTGCAGATTTGCCCAATGCCATACATTGCCTAGGAGCTCTGGTAGCATAGTGCCTAAGGCACTTGACTGCTAACCAGAAGGCTGACTGTTCAAACCCACCAGCCACTCCTCGGAAGGA